TTAAAGCACACATTTGTATCTACATGTATTATGCCAAATCTCCTTTAGTCAGAGTTGTAAGTTAAACCTGTGTATAACGGTCACCCTTGGGAAATGGCCAAGTGGCCGTTATATACAGGTTCTCTTTAAACTCTACTGGAAGTTAATGAATAGCATCTAAGTCTAAAGGGTGACTGCATCCGTTACGCACACTAACAGGTGACCACTATATACAGGTCACCTTTACAGAAAATATAAAGCAAAGTTTTAGGGAAGTTGTCCGGTGAGTCACTCTATAGTGACTCAATTTCCTTTGTCCCCTTTGTAAATTATATATAGTTCGGGGAGTAATAATTATGTCAAACAGCAACAGTTGTACAATGTATTTATTATGAACATTCTGAACTAATAGTATACTAGAGAGTAGCTGTGACTACAGTGTGCATATATGTACATTAGAATGTAGCAGATAAATGCATGCTTTAAGGTAATACAAAAAATGGGGACTGATTTTAAAAACATAAACCTTACCTTTGAAGAATAAATCATTTAGTGAGTTTGCGAATGGCTGCATAAATGTTTGGAAATGTGGCTTGGAGACACCGAACCAAAGCCCAGCAAACATGCGGTACTTTTCTCTGCTGCCTGTAGGGACAGAAAATAAAGGGAAAGAATGAAGTTTTTTAAAAAAAAAAAATGTGAATATGTTTTTTTAATGAGAAAAAAAAGCAAAAAGCGGTCCATTTCAAGATAGGTCAGTTACCAAGCAAAGAATGAGTTACAAACAATTCTTACTAGTTAGCAATTCTGCAAATTATCAGTGCTCATTATGATGTGTTGCAGTTAGATTAAGTGATACTCTTCTCTCACAATTTCTTTTCTCTTATTGGTTATTAACTGTGGAATTTTCTCTTTGGTAGTGGCATCATGAAGGCAAGTAGATGCTTAAACTGTGTACTTCAGTTCCACAATTAATTTATTTACATGACTATACTTTACAACCATTGTTATTTTGGTTACTTTGGTTTGACATTCTTTAATCAATACTTCAAAAAAAAAAAAAAAAAGAGAAATTATATATTATTTAGCAATACTATAGAAATGAAATACTCGGCTGGGGGGAGGAGGTTTGAAGCTGTTTAAAACGCTTACAGCACATGTTTAATCAAGGGTAAAAATTCAAGCTTTTATTACATACCTGCAATTTGAGGCAATTGTTGACAATAAAATAAACCGCCATATGGAAAATTTTGAAGACCTAAAAATTGCAACTCCATCCGTGTTTATTTGCAGGGACAAATGGATCTGTGTCTTTTTGTCCTGTGTGGATGAACCCCTAAAAATCCGTCCTCCCAAAGTGCTTCTTATACAGTTGTCCATCAAAGATATCTTCAATGGCATCTGAGTTTTGTTTTTGTCTTGTGACACGATACTGCAGAAAATCAGGTACTTCTGGCCCTAAGAAACAAAACAAATATTTGAAAACAATACATAAGAGTGAGAAAATAAATTTCACACAGAGGTTCTGTTTGACTGAGGCAAATGATAATATTTCCTGAATACATGTACATGTAACAAGACTGCAAAAATCTTTTTCATTTAAATCTTGGAATTTTTCCTATTATTGATCACGAACTGCTAATGTTAACTGTCAATGCATTAACAAGTGATAACAACCAGTTACATATGTAACATTGTTTCAGTTTGATGAATGGTTAAAATACATGTATTGAGTGAATGCTTTAAGGCCTCTACAGACTAGATATTTAGTTGTCAAAAACGTTTTTTTTTTTTTTTTTGCGACAATGACAATGTTTAAGTTGTCAACAACAGCAAAATTTAGCATTTAGTTGTCAACAACCCGTCTTACACACTGTTTTTTTTTTGTTGTTGATAACATTTAGTTGTCGAAAACAAAACGTTGTCGACAACTAAATTTCTAGTCAGTGGAGGCCCTTACAGTCACTTCATTCCATCAAAAGAGCCTGGGAAAACATGAAGTACAAAGAAAAGAAAAAGTGCACGATTCTTACACCGAGGTAAACCCAAAAGAACGAGAAATCCTTTGATGTGGGGCATTATTTAGTGACAGGGGATACTTAACATGGTAGTGGATAAAGATAATGAGAAATTCTTTGTTATTTAGTATCATTTAGTAACAGGTGGGACATCTACTTAGAACGAACTGACTTGGAAGGAAGTGACCTGATACCAAAGGAATGATCTATACCTTAGCAGATAATCTACTTACTTGACAGCAATGACTGAAGCTGTGTGACTAAGGGTAGGACAATGAAGTAGGCCAGTGCACCTTTTTGGAAAAATCTACCAGACAATACTTGTTAGAACAGCAGGAGGTCTTTGTAAGCCCAATGTACTCAAAACAGCAACAACAATAATAGTGGTACTCGATAGGCTTCTTAAGCTTTCGAAAGAATCGGTTGAGAACAGCTGTCGATTTAGCAAAGCAGTTGGGTACAACAAGATGAATGTTAATTAACGTCAAAAGGTCAGCCAAAGCCAGTCCGCTCAAATTATGCCTTATGGCGAAGCTAATAATCAGCAGCAAGCTAACTGAAAAAGTAACGGGGACCCCTCGTATAAAGGGGTGTCTTGTGATAAGGATAGCTCAGTAATTTTCACCTAGTCATCTTGAGTGCTGCTTTCATTCCTATCTTCCGCTTCCGAAAGTTCATCCACGTCATTATCTTGCTCGTTCAAATCCTCATGAAACTCGCTAGATCCGTACGTTGTATCAAGCGCTGGATCTTCAGGAAAAACTTGCGAAATTTCATCACAGCTGTCTTGCTCAACTGCCGTGTTGTTCAGGAGCCCCTTTAACATTTCATCAGCGATGGAGTCTCTAGTTGGGCGGCCTTCTCTGTCATTTTCTACCTCAGCTGGCCGACCATCTTCTTTTCAACAAATCAACATTATTACGGTCTTCCAGAGAGTATTCTTCGATCCCCTGAGATGCATATGAGTAGTCCAGGAACTCTGACTCAAAATGTTCAACAGTGTCGCTACAAGATACCGCATTCGTTTCTCTATCATAAGTTTTAGCTAGTTTCTGGCGATACTCTGACGTTCTGGGAACTTTCAACGACGGATGTGACAGATAAGACAGGTAAGTACCTCTTCTTTTTCACAACTTCTAGAGTTACGTGTTTCTTTTGCATTTCCAGTCGCCATGTTGTGTTCGTATAAAAGCCGATCGACCCAGGCAGATATTACGCATGCTCAATACGTCGGCGTCTGTTTGTTTTCCTTTTGGCGGGATTTTTTTGCGGCACGTTTGTCGGTGTATGTGTTAGATCTTGGCGCGAAACTTCAGTAGCTGTGAAACGTGAATTGCTTGGTTCATCAGACTCTTTTTCGACTGAACGTTTATTGTCGCTTCCCCTTTTTCGGGCAATCCAGTATCCAGGAAAATGGTGAGTACATTAAACTGTATAAAAAAACCTGAAAAACCCTAATCAGGTCACGTTTTAGTTCGTTTTTTAATAGCAATTATGGTGATAGGTAAGCTCAACGGTTCTACTTAAATCGGTGAGAAAAAATGGTAAAAGTTTACCTTCTTCATTCAGGTCGAATGCAGCGTTCAAGCCAGGGAATTGTTCTCTTAGAACTTCTTTGATACATTCGCAGCGTAAAATTCATTTTATCTTTGTGTCTGCGAACTGGAACTGATACAACTCGATCGGGCTCAGCTAGTGCATTTCAAATAAGAACGCGACAATAAATGCTCATCCTCGGTGTAAAAACCTGTAAAGTTTTTCTTTGTTTTCTAGCTATTGTTTTCCTTGGCTCTATTGTGTTGACTTCTCAGTGGCTCCTTTGTATTCATTGTTTTACGTCACTCGTGAGTTTCACAGGTTTTTACACCGAGGTAAACCCCAATAAATACTTAAGCTTATAAGCTTCCAGTGTAAAAGACTTGAGAAATTATTAATTTTCAGTAGTCATTTTTAATTCTAAAAGAGCGTCCTGTAGTTAAGGATATTTAAAGGGAAAAATACTAACAGAGGACGAACTGAAACGTTTTAGACTTTTTACTGGCTTTCTCGCAGTCGACCGGCTTGTCACAAGTCGATCACGACCCGATATGACTTTCACAGCATCGGGAGTAGAAGCGTGATCATTTGAATCTTGACATCCATGGTTCCTGTCGTTTTCTTTTAACCTCAGTGATTTATAATTTCTGCAAATATGTTCTTCCACGTTCATGACTCGCATTTCAATTTTGTCATTGATTTCAGTCTTTTTATGAAAAGGCTTTGATATATTCACCACTGGTCACCAACAGAAACTATAAGTAACGCCTGATTGAACAACCGCTCATGTGTTTCTGTCACCGATTAATAACTAACTTTCTTTAGTATAACTAACTCACAACTTTTTTTTACTACTTGTTAATCGTTCTCGGCGAGGGCAAAATTGATATTGCGAACGTTAACCAAAATATATACCCTTATATATCCCTGACGATTGCGTCGAAGTAGTACAGTTCCTTGAAATAATGACTTTGGTGAGTGTTCTAAAATTTTTGTGCCCCTTTAAAACATGTTTGAAATTAACAAGCATCAACGCTGTATTACCTTGACTGCCGGCATGGGTAACAGGGACTGTGAACGGAGACCGGGCCGCCATTTCTTGTATTTCTTGGATCAAAAGTAACTAACCGGGAAGGTAGTTTCCCATACATGTGCACATATTCCTGTGAGCTTCAGGCTCAGGTTTTTGTTATTCATGATTCCAAACAAAAAATGGGACCCACGACTGGTGTCTCAGATTACCAAAACTATTAAATGTGTGTGCTTTTCTCTGACATCGAAAGAGCAAATTTGTTTACATTGTGCTAGAATACTTTCATAACTTTTTTTAACTACCCCTTGTAGGTGAAACCAAATGGCTTTGCAGTAGTTGAATGGAATCGACCAAATGGAAGAAGTGAATTGGAAGCGATTATTGTGAAGAAGTTAGCTGTCAAGGAAAGTGTAAGAGCTGGGGCCATTGCTGAAATGCAATATGATGGAGAAATTTGGAGGGAAAAATTTCTCTCTCCATGGTAAGACTAATAGTTCAAGTGATTTAAGCTGTCATGAGCATGTACTTGTGCATCTGTCAGAACTCTGGACCACATAAGAAAAAAAAAACTTACTGATAATGATAATAAATATACATTTACAGTTGTAAAGTGATGACTGTTATTTTGCCTCTGCATGAATGACTGCTAAGAGGGGTAAAGAAATCGTTCTTTTTCTCACAAAAAAGAGTCCTAACCCTTTTTTTATTAACTGGCCTTTTTCAGACAGTATGAGTGATGCTAGAAGTGTTTTAGACAAGGAGCTTGGAAATTCTGGAACAGAAGAAAACAGTTCAAACTGTGAACAGAATTCATCCCCCAGTAAGAAGCAGAGAAAGAGAACAAAGAATAAACGACTTGATGGATATGAAACCAGTCAAGGTACAGTAAGCTGTTATTTGACACTAACAGCATATAATGGTTTAAAGTCACCGCGAAAAGGGAACTACATGTAAGTGTTATAAAAAACTAGTCACTGAGGACATTATTGAAGGTGGTTGCTCCTTGTTCCCTTAAATTTCAATTTACAGAGGTAGATAATAAAATAATAATTATCAAAGTTCTAAAAACATTTAACCTGTATAACCGCCCTGTATATAGCGGTCACCCTGTGTATTACGGTCACCGGACAGGTTCCCAAATATTAATTTAGCCGTATATTGTCTGTGTAGTGGACCTGTATAATGGTTACCTGGCCATTTCCCAAGGGTGACTGTCATAAACAGGCTTGGCTGTATTTTGTTACAGCTACTACAAATTCATTGTTTTTGGGAGACTCAATTATTCAGACCTTTTTCTTATACATTATTATTTTATCCTGTTATTTCTTAAAGATGATGAACCTTCCAAAAAAAAACCCAAGACCTCTGAGGGCAGAAAGAAAGCTGGAGGAAGCAAAGAAAATGACAGTGAAAGTCAAAATAGGAAGAAAAATGCCCGAAAAGATCATGATGATGCAGCAGAAAAGGAGCGAAAGCGAATTGAAAAGGAGCAGGCAAATAAGCAAAGAGAAAAGGAACGGCAGGCCCTTACTGAGCGAAATAACATGTTGCTAGAAAGGATGACTGCTTTGGTGAGTAATCAAAGTGCAGAAGATCCCTTTGATTCCGATGTTGTCTCAGAGTGTGTGGATCTCACAACTTCATCAACACCACCATCAAATCCTGTTCATCGTCTTCAGAACACAGTAAATGAGTTACGGAGTGCCACACCAGAAAGAGTGTTGTCAATCTCACAGCTTCAAAAGACACTGGACATGCTGCAGGGCAATTCAGAGGACCCACCAACCACACCATCTATTTGTCAGACAGCAATTCCATCACTGCAGAGAACCTCTCTGACCACACTGCAGGATGTGTGGGAAGAACCAGTATCCACAACACCAGTTCAGCAGATGCCAAATTCCACCACACCAGTGTCAAGATCTCCTCTGACAACTCTGCGTGGCAGATTAACAGAAGTGCCACTGTCAATACCAAATCAACAGAAAGAAGCCACCATTTCAGGAGCACAAAGAACCCCACTGACAAACACACCCAGAAATTTTCCAAACAGAAGACAAGACTTAGTAGCCAGACCAACTGTGGGTGGTAAATGCCCCAGACGAGTTCTACCACAGCCGCTCTCAAGTTCAGATGAAGAAGAGTATTGTCCATCATGCGTAACACGCAAAAAGAGAGTGAGGGAACTTGAAGATCAATTAAAGAGCTTGCAAGGTCAAGGTATGTATGAGGAAGTTTATGTGATAATCCCTGAAAATTAAAGAATGAGAGTTAAAAGAAAACAAGCAGTCTTGTTGTGAATAAAAGAAATAAGGGGTATTAGAAAAAGGGATGCACATAATCCAGTTAGTCTGCTTGGGGGCACCCTGTTTTGGTGGTGGATCGATCGATCCACTGTCTGGTCTTTGTCCACTAATTACAGTAAACACCTGCATATAAGAACCTACTTTTTTGAAGTCTGGCAAAATAGGTTCATGTATTTTGGGGTACGTATTGCCAATTTAGGCTAAGTAGGTTCTTAATTTTTATGAAGGAGATAATTGATCATTGAGTACCAGAAAAATAAATGAACTCGGTTAAATATGCAGTATTTATTCGTAACTATTATAACCTAACAAAACTATATAATTACATGCAAGGTGAACTTTCGATCTTGTTAATAACTATAGTCATTCCTATCATTATTTTTAAGTTTCTGATCCTCCAAGACCTGGAAAGATCAGTCCCATTCTAGCAGAACGCTTTAAGGTAAGCACTTCATTCACCATTTTAATCACAGAATGTGCATGCTATTGTAGACAAATCAGTGTAAAGTTTTTGTGCAAATCATGTAGTCGTCAATGGCTAATTTGATGTTTGCAAGAGGTTCGACCCTACTAGACCTAGTCAGGCTTACAGTTTAACCCATTTGCTCCCAGATAATATGCAGCAGAAAACCACTCTTTCGAGCCATTTAAGACCTTTTCTGGTTCTTACCAGGCTGAAAAGGATCTACAATGTAGATGTGAACTACCCGAAAGACATACTAACAATTCAAGTACAATGCTGATAGTTTCTGATGCTAAATTTTAGCATTGAAGTTCAGGCATCAGGTAAAAAGTTCACTGCCTCCACGACTGTTTTTTTTCACTTTCCCTCGTCCTCACCTCTTGCTTTCCTTGCCCTTTTTTTTTTCTTTTTTACTTTTGTGGGGCATTTCCTTGGGCTAGTCCCTGCAAGCCACAACTTGCCCAAAGGGTAAACTGTAAGCTGACTTTCTTTACACGCCCTTGTTATGTGTCAAAGTTGTCAATGTCTTTTGAGCATTTGAAATGTGACATGCGGCAGAACATGTGGAATTATTATACAGGCTGTTCAGGTGTGTATGTCTATATAAAATTGCTATCATAAAAAATAACATGGCTGTTTTTTTCTTCTTAATTCCAACAGATGGTAGAGTTGACTCCTGGTTCTCAAGTTTTTGTGTACCAGAACCATATTCACCAAGCAATGGCCAGAGCGTCGTATAAGTCAGCGGCATCGTTTTTGTTAAACTGTTTTTACACAAACGACGAGCTGGTGGGGATGAACCTGACTGGAGCAAATGGAAAGAAATGCCCAGACAAGGAGATACTTCAAAAGCATTATAGGTATGTGTGCAATAACATGATGACTATGTAAATTAATAGTCTCTCAGAAACTGCTTTTTTTAATTTTCCCATCCATAAATTCACTACTCATGTTGTAATGATTTTTGACCCTCTTTACAGGATTTGTCATGAGAGAATACCAAAAGCATTCGCCAACTGAGTCCTCTCTGAAGCTGGCTTTAAGAAACAAGCTGAGTGCTTTGGAATCAAGAAAGTTAAAGAAGGATGAGTGAAAAGCTTAATTTTTTTTCTTCTGTAATATAATTATGTACGCAGAAAAAGTTAATGTTGTGACAGATAAGTAGATGGCCTGATTCAGATTACTAATTTCATTGCAAGTTTGTTAGGGCATTCGGTTATTGTCCTTTTTCAGCAAGCAGTCTTTGGGTTTGAAATAATTATGAAAAAATATTTATTAAATGTTAAGTACAATATATAAGCTATTTCTACAGTGAAAATAATATTGTGTTTTAAAAATTATTGACATACTGTACGTCTGTTACTGTTAAAAAAAGCTCCAAATAAAATTTATTGTTACAAGCAAATATTGAACATTTTTTAGTGAATTTATGTAGAGCCAGGGTGGTCATGCATGCCTTTGTCCTTACTGAAATTTATGGGTTTCAGCAACTTAATTTAGAAGTGTACAAATTGTATACTTTTTGCAAGTGTTATACAAAAAGTATACTTTTTGTGGTCTTTTCTGTGTATGAAGCATGTATACCATTAGTATACATCCTCTTGGAGAGGTATACTTTTTGTATACATCGGGGTGTTCCAAATTACTAGTACAAAAAGTATACATCAAGTGTATACAAAATGTATACATCAAGTATACCTAAAGTATACCCAGTGCAGTATACTTCATGTATGTTCGGAGTATATTATAAGTATATTTCATTTTGTTAAGGGATAGGAAACCAAACTAAGCTTGAATTTCATAGAGAGTATTCACTCACGTGGCTTGCATCTATGCAAATTTATTGGAACAAAAGAAATCATTTGCATAAGAAAAGAGTTCAACTCCCACAGGATTAGGTTTGGGACACCAACATGGCTGCCGTGACGTCATGTGCATACGCTCTATACTTCAATCAGTTTCGCATGTTTATTTTCCATCCCTAAGCATTCTGTTCCTCCTGTGGAAAGGAGTTGGTGGTTGTGTTATGACAACTTCATCCCTTAGTGTTCTTCATCCTTCAATTAATCAGTTAGAGTAAAGGATTGTTAATATGATCCTGATTAGGAGAAGAAAGCTTTCTATTAAAGGCACCATGGTCTAGAAGACTAAATGTAAATTCCCTATCTGACCTCATTGACAGGGAGAAACAAAAAAGGGATTGGCTGACACCAAGCATAGTGATGTGCAGTATTAAGCTCAACAAGGATACAGGAAAAATCCACAAATAAGAAACTGGTTTTTAAGAACCTGTCAGGCTAATTTTCCAGCTAGGCTGTCTTTATAAAAGAGCACTCAAATTTGAAACAGGTTATTAATCATAACCATTACAATTTCCTCAAATTTGATTGGTGCATTAACTGCTTTAATTTTCTTTAATCATTGTGTATGGTTATAATCAGACAGTTGGCTGTAGTCGGACAGTTGCCTGTAATCATACAATTACATTAGCCAATCATTTTAAGTGCACTCAGCTAAATCCACCAATCACAGAAGTTATTACAAAAACCATAGCAACAATCACTTACCCAAACAAACTGGGGATTAATCCAAAATGGATGAATATGCAACATATAGGCAGTGTCTCCACCAGTAATATTTTCCCTTATTTTGGACATTTAGTATGAACAAATGCTATTTCTCCAAAAAGGAATGCATATATTTTCTTGGAAATTGTAACGGTTACAGGACTTTGTTTTGTCCAATTCAATCTGTAATCATACTCATGATTAAACAAATCCGACTCCTGCTTCGTGGTTGTCCAATTTTGTAACACGTGTATGATTACAGACCGAATTGGACTCCACTCAGTCCTATTACCATTATTTATAAAATCTCTAAGAAAAAACTTCTGCACAGTGTACACTTGGGAAAGTAAGATAAGTCAACATACAGGGTCCTCTTTTGAGACATAGGTGTCTAATAATATTTATCATTTAATACTCCGACTGCAATGCAATGGTATACAGGTTTTACATATACTAAGGAAAGAGCTGAATGCCACTTAATACTTTTAGCTCAAAGCTACAAAGTATTTTTTTTTTCCAGAAAATAAGGACCTATTTGAGACTGAACCTAAATAGCCTAAATCTGTGCTAATTGGTTTTTATGTAAGAACCTGACTTGTTTAGGCTAACTTGGGAAAATACAGGTTCTTAGTTGCAGGTTTTTACTAGTAATTAAATTTGATGGAAAAAGGATTATCAACAATTAACATAGCGAGATGAGCTTATTTACAACTCCATCTTTTAGACCTGCAATTTATTTAAGGCTGTCTTATAAAGGAACAACAAGAACAGCATGTGCTTTTTGTCAGCTTTAATGAATTCCAGACTATTTAAATGATCTGTTTAGAAAATCCTCTTAACAGATGGAATAGTAAAATGTGAATTAATAAATCATTTCATCAAACTGTCTTCTGCTTTCCTCTTGCCAAACCATCTTTCCCTTCAGAGGAGCAAAGGTTGTAGCAAATATCAGAAAAATAAAACAAAGACAAGAGGCTACACCTGAAACCCCTCTTTACTGTTACTTTAACACCCAGGGAGAAGGTTGTAGTACTTCTATACACGTATGTGCCATGGAATAGGAGGTGGGTTTTGAGATGATCAGTCTTTATGGTACACTACTTGGCTTGGCTTTCTGATCCTTTGGTAGGGTTCCTTTGTAAAATTATACTAGCTCATCGTCAGTACATAAACTTCAGGGATTTCAAAATGTTTTAAAATATCTGGAGGCTGGGGGGGGGGACTACAGAATTGCTGGCAACATACAATCGAGTAGCCGATGGAACTCCAGTGGTCACCAGCTTGTTTTGAAACCACTCAAACCTCTGTTTAAAACTGAAGATACATTGATGGGATCAAGATATGAACTTGAGCCTAGAACTACTGAACTATAAAAAAATATTCTTTTTATGCAAATCCAGCTGTTTGAAGATTGAAATAGGAGTGTAAACACTTTTTGACACAAAAATGATGTTTATAATTATCTACATTTACCCAATACTTCCTAGACCTTCACTTGTTGGGGGATTGTGTGTTGAAACAACTCGGAACATTGCATTGAAAGCCTGTTGTCAAGGATACAACTAAGAAGAGATGGTATTTACAACATACCTAGACTGTATTTTTCAATAGATACTGGAAAAGAATCAAGAATGCATTGTGAATCTAAGCATTAAGATTTTGAGCCAAATACAGGATCAAAAGACGTTAGTCAATAAAAAGGAATGTGGATATATTTTTTGGGAAAAAGGAAATCAATACAGCTTGAATGTCTCAGGGCTGGTTTGCATGTTTCTAAAATTCATACATGTAATTTATTGATAATATTTTGATGTTTCTTTTTTTAGAACAATAATAATATCATTGATCAATCAAATAAAGTAGGTGAATAAAAGTTCAGTATTTCCTTTAACACTGGAAGAAAAACTGTTGTATACATACTAATAATTTATACACAGCTGTATATCGTTATTATTGTGGTTCAATTTTATCCCTGGATAATTTCACTTTCCTTTGTGTCATACTCATTATCATACATTTTCATACCCCAAAAAACATGAAAAATTTAAATTAAAGTATAAAGAAAAAAATAAATATACCGTCCATGTATGGCCAAAAGAAAAAAATTGATCACTGGTTCACTCAAAGCTGCACTGGGTGACTGTTTCTCCTAAAAAGGTTTGAACTCTCTGTTGGATACTCCCTTTTGCCCCACCAGCTACAGGTACATACCCCTCCCCCCTCCCCCCGCAGGCATGCCATTCAACATAGATATTGTACTAAAAGAAGACCACTGTCAACCATATTAAAAAGTTACCGAGTAAAAACATTGTTACTAGGAAACAGAAAAACCATTCTACTGAAGTGAATTATTGCAGTATCCTTCAAATTTTGGTTCCATTGCTTACATGTATTGTTTCTAGTAACAAAAGTGCAAGTCTTAAGATGAAAGTTTCATGTTACAGAACTAAAAATAGCCTTTCTTTTTCCAGGGAGGCCATTTTCTCCCAACAACTCCCTACCAGGTAGAAATTTCATTCAAGTTTCATATAACATACTTTTTGTTTGTTTTGGCCATGAAGACCCTCTCTCCTTACAACTTTTAAGGATCCTAGAATCAAACAATACAAATATCCCTTATGCACAACTGTCTTACAATATAGATTTTAAGGCTCAGCAAGGGAAAATAATATTGGCAAAAAAAATATACTTCCAGTCCTTCACACATAATTGAACTGTCTATCCCCTACTACACAGAGAGAAATAACCGGAAATGTAATTTTGCTTATCTGTGCAAATTAAGTTTGCTGTCGTTAAGTTTCACAATCCCCCATAGGCAACCTTGCAGTCTGTCTGGAGGTGTGCTGTTACCACCTCTGAAATCCCCTTAGCAAAAACCTTGCATGCCTCCCTCTAAAACAATAAATTCTACCAGGTCATCGCAGCAGAGATTCCATGAGATAGCGCATGCGCATAGCTGGTCAATTTTGTGCTTGCGTCGCCATTTTGGCAAGGCTGGTCTGTTAGCCCATCACAATCCGGTGTCTATCTTCACCATCGTAAAGTTATATTTCTTATTTATCATACATCGGCAATCTTTGCGAAGCAAAGTTTATAACTGCCGTGTTTTTTCATTCACTAAAAATGCCTACGCCGGGTTCCGGCGTACTTGATGAAATCCTTGATGTGACCAAGGAGTCACTGACCGAGTCAAATTCGCCGAATTTGACAAGCAAAGGAACTACGCTTACAGGATCGTCTCGATCTCCAAAACAACAATCCACATCTGCCGCAAACACGAGTCAGGCTGCTGACTCTGCTGAAGGCGAGGGAGAAGCTAGGCTTTTCCACAAACTCGACCTATTGACAAGCCTCGTGCAAGACATGGTGCCCGTTGTCAAAACTTTACAAGAGTCTCACGATGCCTGGCTATTGCAAGATGTGGATGATGTCGACGCTCCTTCGTTGGCTGAA